GGAAAGGTAAGGTAGAGCAGACTGGGTGCAATTCATAGTAATGCCTGGCAGTTACAGCACGTTATAATGTGCATCTTCATGTGTCAACAAGTATTGCTGTAAAGTTCAAAATCTTGTGAGCTGCTATACAAAACCAGTGATACAAAATGATGTTTATGAAACGATAGTTATAAAAATGTGACTCGCTCACACTATTCACGCTCCCATACAAAATGTGTTATATAACATAGATATCAATCAAGGGCCGCACTACACCTATACTTTAAACCAAAACAACCAACATAAATGTCTCTTAATAAGTGTTTCAGGTTTGGACCAGGTTTTGATTGTTGCTTGTCGGCGGGCATCGTTCCTCCCCACCCTGTAATTAATCAGTGAAAGGAGAAGGTGCATAATGATGAGCTCATCTCTCAGTCACTATGCTCTTTTCCCCTATTAGCATGCTCCTTGCACTGCAGCATGACTGATTGGATTGTTGTGCTGCTTCTCCTTTTCACATTCTGAACTCTGCTGTAGAGGGGCTATAAGAGCCAAGTCAAATTGAGGTACTTACACAGCCAGATTTTCAAAATTACATATAATAATGTATTCATGAATACAGAGTTTCAATAATTTGTGCCTTTCATATTTGCCTGGAATTCAGCTTAAGGCTGTATTTACTGTACACCAGAGCACTTGTTTTCAAGCATTTTTATTTGAGCATTTTTGCTAGAAAAATACAAGGAGTATATTAGAAATGTTTTACATGAGTATTCAAGATTCAGGCATTTTTGATTTAGCCAGTCGAGAGGAGACCGGTTCTTAAAGGCTGAAAATGCCTGAAATATGCGCCTGAAAATAAAACACTCAAATATGCTTGATTTGAGTGTTTATAGGCTTTTCCATTAAAGTCTATTGGGTCAAAAATGCCCAAATCTGCCTCAAAAGTATCTCAAGTAGCTTTTGGAGTATCAGGTGTCAAGCTACAAGCATGTGGGAGTTCATATGTGAACATACAGAATTTAAATACATAGGATTTACATAGGAAATACAGAGTTTTAGAGCTTTGAATTTGGAGCTACAAAATGCTCAGGTGTGAATGGGTCCTAAATTAAAGTTTATTAACATTTTGTAAGACTGTGGTAGTTAGTGTTGGGCTTGATGTTCGAGCTGAACATAAGTTTGGTCAACACATGTAGGGGCGTTTGGTGGGCTATTTGCCCGCTGTGTTCCACAATGAACTGCTCTCTGACAGTGCATTGTGACTGGCCAAAGCAATGCACCTGACCACAGGTCAGGTGCAATGCTTTGGCCAATCACAGCACATTTGGGTGGAACTAGCGGCAACATCACCACTAGCTCTGCCCAATTTTTTACATCTGACCGGCAAAAGTCAGATAGCGGAAAATGCTCGGTGGATGAGGGTGGGTTTGCGGGGGCGTCAGGTTTTTTTTAAAATTTCGGCGAGTCAGCATCATCAGGACAATGATGACTGAGGATGGATTATAAAGAAGGAACCATTTTTTTGGCTTTTTTTTAATAAAGTACTTGTCAAAAACTGTTGTGTTTTTATTCACATTTTACACTTTTTTGGTGAATGAGTAGGGATACTATGTACCCCATACTAATTCACAAGGGGGGGGGGCAGGATCTGGCAGCCCCCTTGTTAAAGAGGGCTTCCAGATTCCAATAAGTCACCCCCAGAGGCCCTACAATCACAGCCCAGGGTTGTGGGGAAGATGCCCTTGTCCCAATCAACATGGGGACAAGGTGTTTTGGGGGGCCCCTACCCCAAAGCACCCCCCCATCCCAAAGCAACCTCCTATGTTGAGGGCATGTGGCCTGGTACGGTTCAGGAATAGGAGGTCGATCGCTCATTCCCCCCCCCCCCCCCCCCCTTCCTGGCCTTCCAGGCCTGTGCTCAGATCAAGGTTCCTACTAACCTTCCTACCAGACCCCTGTTTTTTTAATGTAATTTTGTTTTCTAAATGTCAGTTCTGCTACAGCAGGTTCTATACATTGTACAGATGTGCAACTTTGCAGGTAGTTTAAGGGCCCCCAGGTATGATATTTAAAGGAATGATATTTAAAGGAATTTATAGTTTTTAATTTTTACTTTAAGCAATTAAAAAATGACTGCTCTTTAAAAACAGTACTTTTTGTTTTTTTATTTTTTTCACTGATTCATGTCTCTCAGGGAGTACCTGAGTCTCCATACCCCTTTTATGACCAATAACTTGCATACAAGCCTTCAAAATGGGCATTTTTTAATTTAACAGTTCGAGTCCCATAGACTTGCATTATGTTTGAAGTTCCCGGTCGAACTTTCGTTAGGTTCGGATGTTTGACCACGAACTGAACAGGGGGGTGTTCAGCCCATCACTAGTGGTAGTTAGGTAGGTTTTAAAAACATTCCATTGTTTAACTCTCAAAAAACAGAAAAATCAGTTATGGGCAGACTGTAGAAGATTCAAACAACAATGTAATTGCCTAATTTTATTAATTACAGTGAAATATAATAATTATAAATATATATTAATATATATTTTAAGGGACTTAATTGCTTCCCCTCACTTTTGATAGTCACAAGACAAACAGACAGGGTGAATCACGCTAGCAGTTACACAGACATCAATAAAAAATTCAAAGGGGTCCTGAACCCTTCCGTACTCTATCCAAAACTAAAAAAAAAAAAATATTGTCTGCAGTTACACTTTAACTGCTGCTTTATTAAAAAGTACCATTCCATATCAGTCTATGGTTTCCTTGTAACTATGGCAACCGGGGAGTTCTTTATTTTCTTTACAATACAGTTAGGGCCTCAGGAAGAATAGGGGAAGCATGGACGCAGGACTGACATGACTGGGACAAAAAGGGTTTATCTTAGGAGGGGATTTTCTGTGGGTTAAAGTAATTATGAATCAAAGGGTATTTACCAGATTGGTGGGTAAGGCAGGAACAGGTGGGACTTCAGGGGAGAGTCAGAAGGAAGGTCCTAGGAGTTCTTCAGCTAGAAGAGAGTTGGTGTCAGGAAAACTTATTATCCCCTTTCTTTAGTTTTTGGGATGATTTTGCATTCTGTTGGGACAGTTACAGGTTTTGTGTGAATATGTCCTAGCAGCTGGCTAGGTACAAGGTCCTAGAAGGTGGTCATTATGGGCAAGGCCCATCTTAAAGTAGAGCTCCCGACTCCCCCCCTAATACCGTGGCTGCTTACTTTTAATATAAGGACACTTATCTATCCAGAGATCCAACAATGTCCTCACCTGAATCGATTCTTCAATCATCTTTGGGTGCAGATGCCAGCATCTTCAGTAAAGGAGACTGGAAGTGAAGCCTTGTGGCTTCACAGCTGGTTTCCTACTACAGGAATTGACAAAGCGCTGTTGGCTTTGTGTATGGTTCCCCAGTCTTTTTGGAGTGTCCCAGAAGGCTGCTGGGGAAGGAGGGTGTCTCATACCTCATTAGGGAGCCTCTCATACAGCTCCGGCTCAGAGGCCATAGAAGGTGGAACAGCAACCACAAGAGCATGGTGGGGTATGAGTGCCTGATCAGTCCAGTGGTCTGTGGAGGAATAGCTGATGCCTTGCTGGATGGATGACTGGAGTGAAGCAGCTGGCTGTAGGCAGACGTCACTGCAGAGCAGGCTGGCACGTGGTACTTGGCACAGCAAAGCAGGCTGGTAGCAGGCAGGCTGGCAGCAGGCAGGCTGGCAGCAGGCAGATAGCACAGCAGAGCAGGCTGGCGGAGCTGGGTGCATGGTCAGATGGGTTGGGTCGGTAGCAGACGGGCAGATCAGGCATAGGCAGCAGGCAGAAGAGAAGTCACATCACAGGTCACAGGCCAATGTCAGCAGCAACAAGGCAGATCAAGCAGATACATAAGGCAGAGGCAGAGTCCAAGAAGCAACCCGAGGTCAGTGCAGGTGGCAGTCAAGCGAGGTCAGGACAAGCTGGGTTAATCATGGGTATCAATACAGGAAAAGGCACAGGAATACACGGAGAGCTGCAAATCAGACATCAGTTCACTAGTGCAACTGCTGTACCTATATAGGGCAGTACGCGCCAGAATTATCTAATGCGCATTTCTGAGCAAGCGCGCCCATGCATGCGCATATGTGCGCACCCACACAACAGTACGAGCACCTGCAAGCCTGTGCATTCATGTGTGGCTACGAGCCTCAGTTACGTTACGCCAGCATGTCCCTGACAGAAGAGAGGGCTGAACTTCTGGCTCAGATTACTGAGCCACATCTGACTGTAAGTAGGAGTGGGTACCTGTCAAAACCAGATACCTGCTCCCTCCTCTTCCTTAATAAATGCCAAATGTGGCAGTGGAGGGGGTGAAGTACCAATTTAAGTACAGCTCCCCTTATTTTGTATAGTTCATTGGCAGTGAACTGTGGGTCATTTGGAGTTGTATCTGTGAATATTGGTGTTATTGTCTATTAGTCTGTGGCTACCTATCTGTTTTACACAGATATTCTGTTAACCTCCCTAGCGGTCTGATTATGTCCATATTTCTGTGCTCAAAGCGGTACATTTTTGTGCGTGGAAATATGTATTTTTTTTATTATAGGCCTGTAAATTTTAGGAATAACTCACTGAAATCTGTCCGAACAAGAGTCTAGTAAACATCCCGGGTATGATAAAACTTGAAACACAAAATCATAAATTATAATTTAATAAATAATCATAAAAAATAATAATATAATAATAATACATTTTATTCAATAATATAATCAAACCAAAAACACTGAAATTTGAAATATAGCGCCAAGTTCGTACATCACTGAGCAAAGTCACAAAATGGTTTTCAGTGTCTGATGACGAATTTCCCCACGGATCATTATCACTCAATTCTGCAAGTAGTTCTAACTTACTATCGCTGTTCTCTAGCTGGTCTAAAACCGCTTTTGACCTAAAGGGATGCTTTTTGGCCACCATGGACGTTTATCAGTTTTCAGGCAGAAAGAACAGTATAAATGCAGGCAGGGCACAGGACAAAGCACTCGGGACAAAATGTATGTGAAATGGTTTGATACAGTAATGTTATACTATGTGATTTTAGTGATTTTAGTGACTGTCACTTTTTGTTCTTTTCAAATTTCCCGCCGTTCCGTCCCCGTACGTCCTGACGCTCGCAGGGGACGGAACCCAGATGACACATGCTGGCATCTGCCGGATTACATTGCCAGGGACACTGCAGGGGGGACATCGCGGGAGCGCAGGACAAGGTAAGTGACCGAGGGATCGTGGAGCAGCACCGCATGGTAAGCCCGAGTGTAGCTCAGGGTTACCGCTTTTGGTACTGAAACTTTACCCCGAGCTACACTCGGGAATACCGCCAGGGAGGTTAAATAGAGATGTCTACTTTGTATGCACTTCAGAAATTGGGGTAGTCCCCCATGAACAATAAACACAAAAACAATGGGATAAACATCCCCCTAGACTAATCCCTTCATGTAGGAACCTCCAGGAGAACTAGCCAACAGACAGAAACAATAAGTGACTCAACTCAATTAACAATGGGAGAAAAACAGAGTAAACACATCACACCTAATAAATAGATTACAGCAAGATACTTCAGCATCAGGTTGTTTTGAGCTGATTACATTAACATCTGCTTAGAGTCTCTGAGTCTTGAGGGGGGAAGTGAAGCAGTCAATTCTGGCTTGCGCACAGAGACCCCAAATCTGTATCCTGGTCCTCCAGTTCTTAGAGTCTGTGTGTTTTGGGGAGACATGGACTTGAGTTTGAAGTAAAACTATTCCAAAAGGTTCCCCAGGTACACACCTCTCAAAAAATAAAGCCCTCTCAAACACCAGAGTTCATAGTCAGTATGCAAGATTCTAGCCTGCAGTCTCCTCCAAAAGACCCTCTCCCGGTTGGGTCTGTCACACCATGTTTTGTTTTTTTCAAATAGTGACAGCTAAAGAGAAGATCCCCAGCTAGCTGTCAATACAGGGGATTGGGGGGGGGGGTTAGTGGGGAAACCTCCAGGAGGACTAGCCAACAAACAGAAACAATAAGTGACTCAATTAACTCAATTAACAATGGGAGAAAAACACAGTAAACGCATCACACCTAATAAACAGATTACAGCAAGATACTTCAGCATCAGGTTGTTTTGAGCTAATTACATTAACATCTGCTTATAGTCTCTGAGTCTTTGGGGGGGAAGTGAAGCAGTCAATTCTGGTTTGCGCACAGAGACCCCAAATCTGTATCCTGGTCCTCCAGTTCTCAGAGTCTGTGTGTTTTGGGGAGACATGGACTTGAATCTGAAATAAAACTAATCCAAAAGGTCCCCCAGGCACACATCTCCCAAAAAATAAAGCCCCCTCAAACGAGAAGATCCCCAGCTAGTTGTCAAAACAGGGGCTTGGGGGAGGGAGGTGTAGCGGTTGCTGGTTCGTTTGTAAAATGTTACATGTTACACCCTGATTAACATGTTACGAAAGGTGAACTTATCCTTTACAATGCATATATCAGTCTCAGAGCAGTAACAGGATACGGTCTACAACAAACAAATTCACTAAAATCCTATGCGATGTATCCTTATCCTTTTTTTACTTAAATAGTAATACTATAGCCCAAATGGTAAGGAGCTCAGAGATCGTCGGGTCATTTTTATTTACTTGATTTAAGGGTTCAGCTGGTTCTGTTACGTGAATCAAATCCCCTTTTATCTGTGTATTTAGTAGATGTGTTTCCCTAGAATTATGGACTGGGCCTTCCCATTGGAAAGAGCTCCTGCCTTTTAATGAGGGGCAGAGGTAGCCAGGCTGTCTTGGCACACAGAAAACATGAGCCATCTGTTAGTCTGGCACCTTGTGTCCTCTGGTGTGATGTAAGGCATAAACATGCTGAATAGAGAGCTATAGGGGCCGTGACCTTGTGTCTTCCTGAGTGATACAAGCAGCCCCACTGCAGCCAGGCACATCACAAACTATCAGTCTAAATGGAAAAACAGATTTGCTTCCATACACAAATAAACTATGGGAATATGGAGCTTGAACTTTCCCCATCCAACCGTGGTGGGAGTCGCTAGGAAGTAGATAACATATGAATATGAAATGATAAAATGAATAGTGGCCATGGCTTTATTCTCTCACTATGGATTATGCAGCAGAAAACGTGAAAGTGTGTTTTTAACACTAAATGTAGTTTTTTTAATTATTATTAGTAGTAGTAGTAGTAATAGTAGTAGTAGTAGTAGTAGTAAACAGTAGTAATAGTAGTAGTAGTAGTAGTAGTAGTAATAGTAGTAGTAGTAGTAGTAGTAGTAACAGTAATAATAGTAGTAGTAGTAGTAGTAGTAACAGTAGTAGTAGTAGTAGTAGTAGTAGTAGTAGTAGTAGTAACAACAGTAGTAATAGTAGTAGTAGTAGTAGTAGTAGTAACAGTAGTAATAGTAGTAGTAATAGTACTAATAGTACTAATGGCAACTACTCTCCCTTGGCCTCAGAGACTCCGCTCTCTCCTGGCTCTCGTCCCACCTATCACAACGCTCCTTCAGTGTTACCTATAACGCTACCACCTTCCCCTCACTCCCCCTCTCTGTTGGGGTCCCTCAAGGCTCTGTCCTCGGGCCCCTTCTCTTCTCCATCTACACCTCCTCCCTTGGCCAACTAATACACTCTCACGGCTTCAACTACCACCTCTATGCCGACGACACGCAAATCTATCTCTCCACCCCGCGCCTCACCCCTTCAGTCTCCGCCCGAATCACCAGCCTACTGAGTGACATATCAGATTGGATGTCACTCCACTTCCATAAACTGAACCTCTCCAAAACCGAGCTCCTAGTCTTCCCCCCAGCCCGCGCACCCCCCCCCCTACTGACTTCTCCATCATGTCCAACAATGCCACCATCAGGCCCACCCTGCAAGCCAGAGTACTTGGGGTCATACTAGACTCCAATCTATCCTTCCAGCCCCAAGTCCAATCGCTAACAAACTCATGCAGACTCCACCTCCGCAACATCACCAAAATACGCCCATTCCTAACCCCAGAAACTACTAAGCAGCTCATCCACTCCCTCATCATATCACGACTCGATTACTGCAACTCCCTCCTCACTGGCCTGCCCCACCACAGGCTATCCCCACTTCAGTCTATCCTGAATACGGCGGCCAGACTCATCCACCTTACCAACCGCTCAGTTTCCGCCACTCCCCTCTGCCAATCCCTCCACTGGCTTCCGATTGCCCAACGGATAAAATTCAAAATGCTTACACTGAAGTACAACGCTGTCCATAATATCGCCCTAAATTACATCACCGACCTGATATCCAAATACCACCGAACATGTTTTCTTCGCTCCCCACAAGACCTCCTACTCTCCAGTTCCCTGGTCTCCTCCTCCCATGCCCACCTCCAGGACTTTTCCAGGGCATCGCCCATCCTCTGGAACTCCCTACCCCAATCCATCAGACTATCACCTACTCTCCTTTCCTTAGGCGCACCCTGAAAACCCACCTCTTCAGGGAAGCCTACCCCGCCCCCTGCTAATTGCCGATCTCCTCCACTCCTCCTACCACTCCATCCCCCACAGCTTTTCCTCCTGTACCACTATCCCCTCCCTCCTAGATTGTAAGCTCCAAGGAACAGGGCCCTCAAACCCCTTGTGTATCACACTGTATTGTTATTGTACTGTCATGTATTGTCCCCCATTGTAAAGTACAGCGCTGAGCGAACTATTGGAACTTTATAAATACTGTATAATAATAATAGTAGTAGTAGTAATAGTACTAATAGTAGTAGTAGTAATAGTAGTACTAGTAGTAGTAATAAAAGTAGTAGTAGTTGTTGTAGTAGTAGTAGTAGTAGTGACAGTAGTAGTAGTAGTAATAATAGTAATAGTAGTAATAGTAGTAGTAATAGTACTAATAGTAGTAGTAGTAATAATAATAATAGTAGTAGTAGTAGCAACAATGACATAATTGTGAATGGAGTATAGCATTGTTTAGTTGGCAATGGCAATGTAATGATGTCATCCTGGATGTAGTGCAATTCTAAATTTGGGAAAGTGCTATTACTTATACTCATTGAGCCTTTGAATTGTATAGATAAACTCTAGGCAAATAAAAAAGGCACACATTAACCACTTGCCTACCAGGCACTTATACCCCCTTCCTGCCCACTTTGAATGACAATTGCGTGGTCATAGAACACTGTACCCTAATGAAATTTGTATAATTTTTTCCACACAAATAGAGATTTCTTTTGGTGGTATTTAATCACCGCTGGGTGTTTTATTTTTTGCACTATAAACAAAAAAAAGAACAAAAAATGTGTTTCTGTTATAAAATTTAGCAAACAGGTAATTTTTCTCCTTCACTGATGTGTATTGATGAGGATGCAGTGATAGGTAGCACTGATGGGCACTGATAGGTGGCACTGATGAGGTGGCACGGATAGGCAGTACTGATGAGCACTGATAGGCAGCACTGATGATGCTGCACTGATATGCAACAATGATGGGCACTAATAGGCAGCACTGATGGGCACTGATAGACAGCACTGCTGGGCAGCATTGATGGGCACTGATGGGTGGCACTAACTGCTGGCACTGACTGGTGGTACTGCTGGGCACTGACTGCCGGCACTGCTGGGCACTTATGGGTGGCACTGCTGGGCAGCACTGATGGGGGGCACTGCTAGGCACTGGTGGGTGGCACTGCTGGGCACAAATGGGTGACACTACTAGGCACTGATGGGCACAGGTGGGTGGCACTGTTGGGGCACTTGTGGGAGGCACTGCTGGGCACAAGTGGGTGGCACTGGCGGGTGGCACTGCTGAGCACTGATCATCAGGGCACTGATGATCAGTGCCCTGATGATCATTGCCAATCCATCTTCTGACAATTGACGGTTATCGGCAGTACATTCCTCATGCTATGACAGCATGAGGAAAGTGCAGCCGATAACCGGCAACTGCATTTATCGCTGATCTGCTGTGTCATTGGACACAGCTGATCACATGGTAAAAGGCTGCTGTGATTGGCTTTTTACCCCATCACGCGATCGGCTGTGTCCATAGGATGCAGTGATCACGGCGATCGCCGGAGGGCGCGTTCTGGAAGGACGTCATATGATGCCCTCCCAGGACTGGACAACCACGCTGTAGCCGTCATTCAGCTATAGCGAGGTTGGCAAGCGGTTAATGTAGATCTGCGATCATTATTTACTCCAAGTACTTATATAGCGCCATCAATTTACGCAGCGCTCTACATTTACATTGTACATTCACATCAGTCTCTGCCCTCAGTGAGCTTACAATCTAAGGTCCCTAACTCACATTCATACATACACATACTAGGGACGATTTTGGCAGGAGCCAATTAACCTACC